TAATGTAGAAATCATCTGCCCCACAGGTAGGGGGAGGGTGTGGGATGGGGTATACTGGGGTTTTTGGTGGCGGAGAATGGGCACTGGTGAAGGTACGGGTATGTATGACCAAGACTTAAACCTGAAAGCTTTGTAACTGCTCTCATGGTGATTCAATAAATAAAATTATCACCATAACTATCACTATCTTATTTAATTTATGAATAAAATTATAAAAAATGAAAAAAAGTAAGGTGGAGTTCATGCCCAATTCAATCAGCCTAATCAGTGGCTGCATAAATAGCAGTACTCCTACATTAAAAAAAAGAACCTCTAGAAATGCTCTGTATTCTTGAGAATGTTACTGATTTTTTCATCCTATTCCTCCCCTGCCTTCCAAATATAAACACTCAGAGTTCTCCAACTGGCATCTTATTGATAACATCAAATTTTTTACTACAGATGACATGAAAATATACACATAAGACCCCAAGGATTCCACCAAAAATATTTACAAACAGCAAACCAGCACAGCACAGTAGCAGGCTCTAAACAAAATGCACAGAAATCTGTTGCATCCTGTATGCAAGGAGTGAGCTAGAAGAGAAAGAGATCAAAGAGATTGATCACCCCTTTCAAGATCACGTCCAAAATCATCACATACTAGGAATCAACTTAACAAAAGAGGTGAACTACAGTCACTTAAGAAATATGGGGTCAGGATATGCCATAGCCAGGTCTGCAGACCCCGCGCTAGGTTGTTTCATTCGGGGAAACCAGGAGCATGGTCTGGGAGGTCCCCTCCCTGCCCCAAAGGACCCAGCTCCAGCAGCCAAAAATCTCCAGAACTCAACCACCGCCATGCCCATGGCCTCTCTTCACACGCTTGGGCCGAGTCTCGCCCAGGAGTGAACCTATTCCTGGACTGTGCGGCTGCACACCTCACACCAATCATATTCCATGATACCACACCACATTTGATGGGGTTTAAAATAGCAACCAACCTTTAATAATATGTTAGTAATCTCTTATAGAAGGGCTTAAGAAAACTTTCCTCTAAGAAAACTTTCCTTGGATCACTTTTAGCAGATTATAACAAACAATACAAAATAAATTATTTTGGTTCTGCTTTAGGGGCAGGGGGTGCGGTTCGGAATGGAAACATCCAAAATATGGTGGTGGGAAGGTGTAATGGTGGTGGGATTAGTGTTCAAATATTAAATGTAATCAAATATTGTCAACTACTTTATAAAGATAAAATAAATTAAAAAAAATGGGTCAGAGTGATAGTACAGTGGGTAGAGCCCTTGCTTGACCAAGAGTTAATCCTCAGTAGCCCATTTGTCCCCTGTGCACCACAAGGATAACTTCTGAGTGCAGACCAGGAGTTACCCTATCATCACAAGTATGAGCCCCAGTCACGGTCACGGTACTCCTGCTGTTCATCAATTTGCTCGAGCGGGCCAAGTAACGTCTCCATCATGAGACTTGTTGTTACTGTGTTTGGCATACCGAGTACGTCACGGGTAGTTTGCCAGGCTCTGCCATGTGGGCGAGATACTCTTGGTAGCTTGCCGGGCTCTCCGAGAGGGGCGGAGGAATCGAACTCAGGTTGGCCATGTTGGCTGCATGCAAGGCAAACGCCCAACCGCTGTGCTATCGCTCCAGCCGCACATGAACCTCACCATGAACCCCACCAAAAGAAATAAGAGGACCTCAGAAATGGAAACATATTCCATGTTCGTGAATTGAGAGAAACAGAAAATGACCATCCTAACTAACTAGTTGTGTAGATTCAATGCAATTTCTGTCAAAATTCCTATGACATTTTTCAAGGACTTAGAATGGCCAAGTTTGTATGGAAGCATGAAACACCCCAATAACCCAAAGCCTTTTTTTTAGAAATTAGAAAATAAGAGATATTGTATTTCTTTACTTGAAACTATCTAGTATTAAAAACAGCATGGTACTGAAATAAGGATAGATTGTGAGCCTAATAGTCTAGACATGAGAATTCAGTGATAAACCCTCAGCATTATCAACAACTCATTTACAACAACAAAAAAAAACAGGTTCACAAAGTAGAGTAATGATGGTCTCTTTGACAAACGGTGTTGGAAAAACTGGATAGCTACAGGCAAAAAAAAAAGAATCTGGATTCATGTCTTGCACAGCATTCAAAAGTCAGTTCAAGCGGGCCAAAGGCCCCAATATTAGACTATATTCTATAAAATACACTAAAAATATAGGAAAAATGATTGATAATTTGGACACAAAATTTCATTTTCAAAAATCTAATTCCGGAAAATGGGCACTGGTGGAGGGATGGGTACTTAATCATTGTATAACTGAAACCCAAGCACAAAAATTTGTAAGTCTACAACTGTACCTCATGGTGTTTCACTAATAAAAAATTTTTTAAAAAATCTACTTCCACAGGTGAAGACAACAGAAAAAAATAAGACTATATAAAATTTAAAGTTTCTGGGGACTGGAGCAATAACACAGTGGGTAGGGCATTTGCCTGGCACACAGTTGACCCAGGTTCAACTCCCAGCATCCCGTATGTCCCCCCCAAACACGACCAGGAGTAATTCCTGAATACATGAACCAGGAGTAAGCCCTGTGCATCACCAAGTGTGACCCAAAAAGAAAAAAAAACAAAATTTAAAGTTTCTGTGTAGAAGGACCAGCACCATAGTAAACAGCAGATAGGGTGTTTGGCTGTGCATGCAGCCCCCGGGATCAGTCTCCGGCACCCAACACCCACTGCCAGGAGTGGTCCCTGAGTGCAAAACCAATAGTAAACCTGGCATATTGTTGAGTTAACCCCCAAATAAGCTTAAGTTTCTGTATGACAAAAGAAACATGGGCTAAAATTAAAAGGCACTCTACTTGTTGGGAGAAAACAGCCATCCACAATAAGTCAGACATAGAGTTAATATCTAAAATATAAGAAGTTCTCACCAAGATCAGCATCAATAGATCCAATAACCAGATTAAAAATGGGAATACGGAGTAACAGACACTTTTCTGAAGAAGACAGACAGATGGGCTACAAGCGCTTGAGAAGGTGTTTGTCAACACCTTTTACCAGGGAACCATGAACCAAGACACAAAACGGCACGAAAAGAATTTCTTTCAAAGACAACGGGCACAAAGAACCAATCAAGAGACAGAGCGTACTACAAAGTGATAGTAATTAGAATAGCATGACACTGGAGTAAAGACAGACCCTCAAATCAAAGGAAGAGACTTGTCTCTCCTGTGACAGACCCTCAGCTATGTAATCAGTTCATCTTTGATAAAGGAGCAGAAAATATGAACTGGAGCAAGGAAAGCCTCTTCAACAAGTGTTTTGGGAAAATTGGTCAGCTACATGCAAAAAATAAACTCAGAACTCTTGCTAATGCCATGCACAAAAGTCAAATCAAATATGGATTAATGACCTTAATATCAGACCTGAAGCCATAAGGTACATAGAGGAAAATGTAGGCAGAATCCTTCATGACACTGAAGCTAAAGGCATCTCCAAGGATGAAATATCACTGACCAAGCAAGTGAAAGAAAGATAAACAAATGGGACAATAAATTAAGCAGCTTTTGCAACTAAAGGAAACAATGACTAGGATCCAAAGAGAACCCATGGAATGAGAGAAATAATTTGCCCACCACTCATCTGATAAGGAGTTAATAGCCAAGATATATAATAACTGGTAGAATTTTACAAGAAAAAAAATAATCCAACCCCATAAAAAATGGGGGCAGGTGGTGAACAGAAACTTCCTCAAAGAAGTAAAAATGAACAAAGAACACATGAAAAATGAATCACTGATCGGGGAGACACAAATCAAAACAGTAATGGGATACAATCTTACCACAGAGACTGGCACATATTAAAAAAAAAAAAACGAGAGCAACCATTGCTGGTGTGGATGCGGGGAGAAAGGGGCTCATTCACTAATGGACTGGTTCAGTCTGGTGGGAAACTTACAGACATTCCTTAAAAAAAAAAAGACAAAACAAGGAATTGGGCTTCCATTTGACCCAGAAACTCCACTTCTAGGAATGTATCCCTAAGGAACCAGAAACAAAATGGAGAAAAGACATTTTCACCCTTATGTTCCTTGCAGCACTATCCACAATACCCAAAATCTGGAAACCACCCAAATGTCCAAGAATAGATGATTGGATAAAGAAACTGTGCAAATACAGAATGAAATATTACTTGGCCATAAAAAAGATAAAACCCTGCAGTTAGCTGCTATACACACAGACGCGCAAATGCAGCACAGAATCACCTCTCTCACGTGCAAATATAAAGAAACATAATAATGGGGGTACCGAGTGCCCAAAGACAATGGAACCTACACAAGAATCGGTCTTCCACAGGAAACAGACCACAAGGGGACCTGGCGGGGGTCAGGGAGGGGCGAGGTCCTGGTGGAGAGAGTGGAGAGAGCGTCTGTGGGAGGAGGAGCTGAAAGCTGGCCAGGGTCAGGGTGAACTGAGCCGCAGTGCCGTAAACCACAGCAAAGCTTGGTTTACTTTGGTAAACCAAGAAAAAGGTTTTGGTTTACCAGAGATTGTCTAGCTCCTGGCAAAACCCTTGGCAGGAAAAGGGCCTCTCCCACAGGCTAGCAGGGTTGGGGTCAGTGGTGGAGGGAAGTGGACCCTGGGGCTGGTGGAGAAACACTGTGTGCCCAAAACCCGGTCACGAATAACTCTGTAATTTTATGGTGACTAAATTTAAATAAAGAAAGAAAAAATAGTTAACTTCTATATTCAAGGAATTGTGGCCTGAAAAAAATACTTATGCAATTTTTATTGAAAGAAAAAAAAAAGGAAAAGGCCCAACATGTGTGACAAAGGGACCACTGGTGATGATCCCCAGGAGTTGGACGAGGCCACATGCTGGTGACCCCAGAGTTGGCTGCTGCCCAGCCGAGAGCCTGTCCATCCCGTCCCCCCCACCCACAGAGAGCCCATCCCGCCCTCCCCACCGCCCTCCCAGCACTCACCCCGCCCACTCTCTCCAAGTGCGCCTCGTCCTTCTGGAAGCCTGCAGGCTCCCCGTTGAAGTACCAGGAGAAGACGAGGTGCAACTGGGGGTCATGCCGCACCTGGCAGGGCAGGACCACACTCTCGCCCACTGACACGTCCAGGCTGGCCGGCGCCACCGTCATGCGCGTTGGTTCTGGGGAAGAGAAGGCCGGGGGAACCCTGAGGGAGACCACCCTCCGGGTGGGCTGTCACCACCCCTCAGGACCCGAGGGGATGCCCAGTGCCTGTCTCTGTCTCTTGGGGCTCGTGGGGGTCTCTGAGTGTCTCTGGGCGTGTGGGGGTCTTTGAGTGTCTCTGGGGGCATGTGGGTTTCTGAGTGTCTCTGGGCGTGTGGGGGACACTGTCTCTCAACTGGGGGCAGGGCACACTGAGTCATCTTTGGTCTGCTCAGGGCCACAGCAATGGTCTTCCCTGGGTGGGCTCTGGAAGGGGGTCAGCACTGTCCACTGGGTGGGCAGCAGAGATGAGTGTGGGGTCACCCTGTGTCCTTGTCTGACATGCTGAGTGCAAGAGACACGAGACTTAGCGTCCCGAGAGGGGGTGGAGGCTGTGCCCGTGTGGGTGGGGCGCAGACCCCGGGACAAGTTTGCCATTTGATTCTGGTTCTCGCCCTCCCATGCTGAGCCCCCTGCCCGGCCTGGCTGGCCCCTCCCCAGTCCCAGCCTGGCCTGGCCCCAAGGCTCCCCCTCTGGAACCAACGGGGCTGCTCTCAGCCTTGGTGACAGTCGCGGGGCCAGAGCTGGTACCCGCCCGCCTGGATTCCTCAGGCAATGCCCCACCCGCGTCCCATGGCAGCTCGCTCAGAACTCCCCACCAGAAGGTCCTGCTGAGGCCCCGAGACCCTCAGGCACCCCCACGCCCACAGCCACCCTGTGACCGCGGACAGGGCGAAGTCAGAGCCTGCCACTTGCCGTTCCCGAGCCCCTCAGCTTTTCTCCTGCAGCACCAGCCCCCTGCAGTCTCCCCTTCTCTCTCCGAACCCTGATTTCTTTGGTCTGTCTGAGGTCACTCCCTGTGGGGGAATTCCCATTCCGGAGCGGCTGGCGCAGCAGATGGAAGGACTTGTTGGCATCGAGGGCTTTGCCAGGAGCTAGACAATCTCTGGGACTCTGAGACGCAGGAGAGGGGCTCCTCAGTGCCCGGCACGAAGACGCAGCACCTGTCACCTGTGGCCTGAGCCGCATCAGCGCAGCACCTGCCCCCAGGACGCAGCACAGCCCTGGCACCGGCCTGTGTGCCCGGATGGTCTCAGTGCTGGCGCTGGTTGGCTCAGCCCAGCCCTCCACCCCCTCCCAGTGATGCCCTGGCACCCCCGCTGTGCCCACCACTGGGGGCCTACCCGTGACCACCAGCCGAGTCGTGCCACTTGCTCTTCCAAACTGGTTTTCTGCTGTGCACGTGTAAGCGCCGGCATCCGCCCGGGTCACGTTGGCGATTCTGAGTCCTCCATCCTTCAGGAACCAAACTCTGGGGGAGGCAGAGAGAAACGCAACTGCGGGACTGTCTCTTCAAGCCAACAGCCATCACTTCAGAGTGCTCCGAAGTCGTGCTCAGCTAGTTTCCAAGAGCGAAGATGCGCCCGCCCCTCGCCTTCCCGGGAATCGGGGAACCAGAGGGAAACACACACGTGGAGTCAGCTCGCGGCCGAGGAGCAACCCACCCCCACCCCTCGAGCCTGTCCCTGCACAGTGAGAGGCTCCGAATTGAGTGGAGGTAGCTTGGGGGTTAGCGAGACCACAGAGGAAGAGACAGATCACGCCTAACTTCGCGGCTGATGAGAAATGAGTCTTTGGCATTTCAATGGGGGAGCCTGAGGGGCCCCTCTGAGCTGACATAACCTCAAGACTGTGAGAGAATCAGGCGGGTCCTGGGGCCCCTGCTGGGGACCGGCCCCTCCCAGCTAGGATGGCCAGAGCCCTTCCGGTCAGCGTCTCTGGTGCCCAATGCTGAGTGTCTGACAGGGAACAGGCAGAGCTGGGCTCAAGTTCCCGCCACGGGAATGGCCCTGGAACACACCTGCTGTGGACACATGCACTTTCGAGGGGCCACAGGCCATGAGGCAGGGGTGAGACACGGAGGGGAGGGAGGAGTGCACCAGGCCAGGTCAGCAGCTACCATGGGGGGGGGGGCGTGCAGGCATCATGTGGCCACGGGGAGGGCACAGTTCTCTCACGCCCACGTGCAGTTCTCCCACATCCACATGCATAGTGCTCCCATGCCCATGCACAGTCCTCCCACACCCATGGACAGTCCTCCCATGCCCACGCGCAGTCCTCCCACGCCAATGCATACAGTCTTCCCACATCCACACACAGTGCTCCCATGCCCACGTGCAGTCCTCTCATGCCCACGCAGTCCTCCCATGCCCATGGACAGTCCTCCCATGCCCACGTGCACAGTCCTCCCACGCCCACACGCACAGTCCTCCCACAGTCCTCCCACGTCCCCACACAGTCCTCCCACACCCACGCGCACAGTCTTCCACGTCCACACACAGTCCTCCCATGCCCACGTGCAGTGCCCCCTCACCCACGTTCAGTCCTCTCACGCCCACACACAGTCCTCCCATGCCCATGGACAGTCCTCCCATGCCCACACGCACAGTCCTCCCACACCCATGTGCATAGTCCTACCAGATCCCCACACAATCCTCCCACGCCCATGCACAGTCCTCCCACATCCATGCACAGTCTTCCACGTCCACACACAGTCCTCCCATGCCCACACGTACAGTCCTCCCACACCCATGTGCGTAGTCCTACCAAATCCCCACACAATCCTCCCACGCCCACGAACAGTCCTCCCACACCCACGCGCAGTCCTCCCAGGCCCACACACAGTCCTCCCATGCCTACGTGCAGTGCCCCCTCACCCACGTTCAGTCCTCTCACGCCCACACACAGTCCTCCCATGCCCATGGACAGTCCTCCCATGCCCACACGCACAGTCCTCCCACACCCATGTGCATAGTCCTACCAGATCCCCACACAATCCTCCCACGCCCACGCACAGTCCTCCCACATCCACGCGCAGTCTTCCACGTCCACACACAGTCCTCCCATGTCCACATGCAGTGCTCCCTCACCCACGTTCAGTCCTCTCATGCCCACACACAGTCCTCCCATGCCCATGAACAGTCCTCCCATGCCCACACGTACAGTCCTCCCACACCCATGTGCGTAGTCCTACCAGATCCCCACACAATCCTCCCACGCCCACGCACAGTCCTCCCACACCCACGCGCAGTCCTCCCAGGCCCACGCGCAGTCCTCCCAGGCCCACCACAGTCTTTGCATCATCTGCACACGGGGTCCTCACATAAGTTCTAAGCAAGTGTTCGTATATGGGTCACTTAGGTGGTCACACAGCTCTGGGCAGACCTTGGAAACACACGCTGAGTCTCAGAGGCCCTCCCGGGGGCTGCGTAGGAGGAACAAGTGTGCCAGGAGGTCTGAGGCTCCACCCTAGGCCCACGCCACGAGCCACACCACACAGTCACCGGGAACAACACGTTCAAGGCCCTGCCACAGGCCCCAGCGCCAAGGCTGAATTCCCCTCTAGAGCCCAACAGTGCGACGAATTCTCTCGTTTCCAAAGCAAGACACGAATCTGGTGGTAGAAGCCAAGCAGAGGTGCCGCCCGGCCTGGAGGCCCCAGGTGTCTGGGCAGAGCATGGTGTCGGCAGGAAGGCGGGGCCGCTCAGGGCAAGGGAGCCTGATCTGGCTCTAGGCAAGCTGGAGAAGACCCAAACCTCCCACCCGCCAAGTCGCCCCGGCAGACAGGTGCCAGCGGCAGCCTCTGGCCCAGGCCGAGCCCATCGGCCCTTGGGCCCCACTCACAGGCCCACCGGGGCCCAGCCATGGTGCAGGCAGGGCGGGGGGATTCCAGCTCTGAGCCTGAGCCCCTGGAACTCCAAGTGCCCGTGTCTGAGCTGCACCAGAGGCTCGGGGGCACCCGGGAGGGCAGGCCCATGTGGCCAGCCAAAGAGTGCATCTGCCTCCCGACAGGAGGGGCCACGCATGCACACGCACGGGGACGTCCGGACTGTGGGCACGAGAGCCAGAGCGGGTCCAGGGGTGCGAGCTGAGCCCGGAGCCCCCCGAGCCGACACACCGGCAGGCACAGTCCTGCTGGCGGCCGCTGCAGTCGGGCGTGACGCTAGGTAAAGGGATGGGATTGGGAGAGGCGAGGGGTTGGGGGACACTGGAGAGGACGGAGAGTGTGAGGTGACTGATGACATGGGATAATGGGTAACAGTGGGATGGGGTGACGCGGGCAGGGAACAGGGTGATACTGGGAGGGGACAGGAATGGCACTGGGAGGGTCAGAAAATAACGTGGCAGATGGCACCAGGTGACAGGTTGTCACCCAGGGTGACACTGGGAAGGCACAGGGAGATGGTGTGTCACAGGTGATGCTGGGGGACGGTGACACGGAGGGGCCAGCCCATGCGTCCTACCTGTGGCTCTCCCGCAGTCTCTGAGGCCCCTTCTTCCAGGAGATGCGCGGCTGAGGGGCGGCCCCCGGCTGGCAGGACACAGTGACCTCACTGCCCTCCTGCACCTGCAGCAGCTGCTTCATCGGCATCCTGGCGAAACTGGGCGCAGAGGCTGGGGAGGGGTGCGGGGAGGAGGTGAGCGCCAGCCGCACCCTGAATGCCGCCGGGGAGCATGCCAACTGGTGCCCAGCTGGGTGCTTCTCAGTTTCTCCACAGGGGTGTGGTTGCCCCGCCCAGGGTGCCACCCACACCCCAGACCCAGGGCTTCCACGGGGCCGTCCGTCTGCATTTCCCCACAGGTCCTATGTCCTGAGTGACGGCTTGACGGGAGAGTTTTATGCATCTCCTGTGAGGGTTTGAAATCTCTCCAGGACAGCATCACAGGGTGCCGGTTCCATCCAGCACAGCTCCCAGGGCTCTGCCAGGCGTGGGTCCAAAACCAGAAAGAAACAGGCAAAGGGAGACCAGGGCTCGAGGACAGTACAGCGGGCAAGGAGCTGCCGTGCACAGGTGACCTAGGCTTGGTTCCCGCCACGTCACGTGGACCCCTTGAAACCCTCCAGGACTGATCCCTGATCCTCACTGAGTCTGACCCAAGATTCAAAAGAAACGAGAGAGAGAGAGAGAGAGAGAGAGAGAGAGAGAGAGACAGCCCCATTATGAGTCACTGACACGAAAGGTAAGCATCTGTCGGAGGCCATCCCACGGGCCAGTCCCTCAGCGGCTGGGCTGTGCTGGGCCGGGACCCCTGTGTGCTGGTGTCTGCTGCCCAGAGGTGTTCCGCGGTGCCAAGTCCTGCAGTTTGCATCTGGTGGCAGAGGCTTGTAGGTCTCGGTTCAGATCCCAACTGCTGGAGTGCAGCACGCACTTTTCATGCGCGTTACAGGTCATGTGAAGAGTGAGGACACGAGAGGCCTGAGGCTGCTCTGAGTGCCCAGAGGGGGCATCCAGCAGGCCCTGTCAGGGACCACGCATGGGCTGTGAGCACCTTCCTCTCCCTGCACCGGGCGGAGGTCAGGGAAGACTCATCATCTGCCCATGCGAAGGCTGCGTGTGTGAAGGTGTGCATCTGGGTATGTGTGTATGTGTGTGTGAGCGTTTATGTATGTGTGCACTAGTGTATGTGTGTGAATATGTGTGCCTATGCCTGTGTATATGTGTGTGAGCATTTATATGTATCTGTGCACAAGTGCATGTATATATGTGGGTATGTGTGTATATGTGTGAGCATTTGTGTGTGTGCATGTGTGTAATGCATATGTACGTGTGCAGGTGGGTGCGTATGTAAGTGAGCAGTTATACTGTGCATTAGTGTTTGTGTGTGCATGTGTGTATAAGCATGTGCGTGTGCATGTGTTTATATGTATGTGCACACATGTGCGGGTGTGTACACATGTGTGCATGTGTGTGCGTGTATGTACACTTGCGTGTGTATGTGTACATGTGTGTGCACGTGGCATGTGCTGTGTATGTACATATGTGTATATGTATGTGTGTGTGTGTGCCTGTGGGGCCCCAGGGCTCTGTCTAAGTGAGGACCAGAGACCTGTGTCCCCTGTCAGATGACCTCCTGTCCCTCCCTCCCTTGGTCCTCCTGTCCCTTCACTCCCCATGACCCCAGACCACCAGGGATGGACTCTGCCCTTTGCTGCTGAACGTGTTGCTGGAGCCCCTGGTCCCTCCTTCCTTCCTCTCTTCCTCTGAGAGTTCCCAGAGCCCTGGGCAAGTGTCCACGGCCCTAACCGGAGAGTTTCTATAGGCTCAGTCTGTGACAACTCCTGGCTCCCTCAGGGAGGTCCAGCGCAGGGAGCAGCGTCCTTTTCTCCAGGCAGCAGGCAGGGCTGGCAGGAGCCTGTTCCCACTCCTGCTGCCCCCCCGCCACACACACACACCCGCTTCCTCGAAGAGCCCCCTGGAGCCCACAGAGCACAGCCTGCAGGGAAGTTGCAGACGGCAGATGAGGCTACTCGGATTCCCACAGGAAGGGGCCTGCGGGGGGAGCAGACTTGGGGAGCTCACCCACAACGCGCAGCTGTGCGCTGGCATACACGCGGCCGTGCTTGTTCTCTGCGATACACTGGAACATGCCCGAGTCGGCCACGCTCAGGTTGGAGATGGTCAGGGCGCCGTTTTCTACCTGGATCCTCTCCTGGGTAGGAACAGACATGACCACACAAGCCCTCACTGGCTGAATGGCACGGTTCCCTCTGGACGTGAGGTGTGTGGGGAGCAGGGGGACGCAGCAGTGTCTGCCCCAGACAAGGTCCCCTGCAGCCTGCTGCCAGGAAGGGAACCGCCAGTCTCCAGCCCATGTGGGTGGAACACGTGGCTCGGGGTGCTGGATCCTGGTAAACAGGCCCGCTGGGGCCTTGATGAGATATGAAAGGTCTTGTCTAGAACCTCTGGATTCTGCTGAACATGCTGGCTGAGGCTCTGTTGGAATATCAAAGGTCATCTCTAACAGTTGGTGGCAGATAATTGACCCGCACATAATTTTCAACAGCAAAAATGACAGAGCTTGTAATAAGAGGAAGTTTGACAAGGAGGACTCAGAAGGCAAGGGAGAAGGAGCCATAAGACAAGTGAGTTCTAGGGATCGAGCAGCAAAGAGGAAATGGCATCTGGCTCTGGCTAAAGGGGCCCTTCCCCAAGACCCCCCGGGAGGCAGCACCATGCAGACCTGCTCAGGGACCCCCATCCCCATAATCTTGGGGGACCCTGGCTCTCCCCTACGTCCCATGGCTGGCCCTTCATGGCACAACCTGACTGTGACCCCCCGGCAGGTGAAAGCCGCACGCCTCACCTCCAGCGCCAGGGCCGCGCCGTCCTTCCACCAGCGGTACGAGGGCCGAGGCTTCCCGCTGGCGCGGCACTCCCAGCGCAGGCTGTCCTCCACGGCCGCCTCCACATCCCGGATGGGCTGCACCCAGTGGGGCTGGGCTGCGGGGGGAGGGGGGGGAGGAAGCGTGGTGAGCCCCCATGGGAGCATGCGGCACCCCGCGGCACCCCGCTGTGTCTGAGTCTGGGCAGGAACCCTTCCAGGCCTGGGCCAGAGCTGATACTTGCGGTTCCCCCCGAGCCCTCTCCTGACCACCCCCCAGATTCTGGAAACAGGAGTGAGGCAGACAGGGCGGGCAGGACGCACACGGAGTGTGGAGATGGGAGACACCGCTTCCAGGAAGGTTCGCTGAGCCCCCGGGGTCTGACCCAGGAGCCCCCTGGGGAGGTCTGCTGACAGCCACCCCCCAGGTCCTTCTCCCAGAAGGACCCACACGAGGGGATTTCCTCCGCGATGGCAGCCGGCCCAGTCTGACTTACACACTAGGAATTAAACCCACAGAATAATGTCTCCAGCTCAGGGAAAAACACTTCCCGCAAGTCAGAAATAACTTTAATTAAATACGAACCAGTGAGCATCTTATGAGCCTCTGTGTGAATCAGAATGGAAGTACAGGAAGACGGATAAATTGGTTTAATTTGAATCGTGGGACTTTCTTGGGTGAAAAAGAAGTGACTGGTGCACCCTTAAACAATGCATACAAACGCGCAGCAACCCTGGGTCGTCATTCCCCTGTGTTTTGGAGGAATCTGGGATACTCCTTTGTGAGTGACTGTGACACACGTTCAGTAGAGTAGCGTGTCAGCCGGGCTCGGGGCAGGCAGGCCCCTGGCTCTCTGTGTTCCTCAGGGGGTGGGGGGCGCCTCCTATCTTCTCCTCCTCTCCTCTCCTCTCTGCTCCCCTCCCCTTTCCCTCCTCCTCCCTCCTCCTCTCTTCCCTCTCCCCCTCCCCTCCCCTCCCCTTTCCTCCCCTCCCTCCCCATCTCTCTTTTCCTCTTCCTCCCCTCCCCCTCCCTCCCCTTCCTCTCATCCCAGGGACAGGTGTGCTGCCCTTGCTGGGGTTTAGGCAGGATGAGCAGCCGGCCTGGGAGGGAAGGAGAACGTCCTGCTGGCCGCTGCAGTGAGCATCTCAGGGAAGGACAGGGGGACGGGACTCTCCCAGGACCCAGCCCAGCCTTTGTGTTTCCTGCAGACTAGGTCCTCCCGAGAGTGGCCAGAGCGTCGCGTCTAGCCCTTCCCGGTGGGGTGGGCGGGTGTGCAGGCGGGAGGGGCTCAGCAGGGGAGACAGGGACGATGCCCACCCCTGGCCATGCCCCTGGCCTGGGGGGAACCGTGTCCACCACCACCCTGGAACAGTGGGGGAAGAAGGGGCAGGAGCCTCCGAACTGCCATGGCCCTGGCTGGCCTGGACTGGCCTGGAACAGCCTCACCCACTCAGATGCACTCCGACGTCTTAGCTGCCCTGACCACTCACCGGCCCCGCAGAACCCCCGCCCCGCACCAGCGAGATCACATGGCCAGTGCTGTGTGCAAACAGCCATCTCAGCCTCCAGACAGAACCCAGGCACGCGCCCTGCTGATAGCCCAGTCCCCGCCTTTTTCTCCTCCGTGGTACTCGCTGCAGCGAGACCCACAGAGCTGACATCTTCTTCTTACACTTCAGAGCAGATGCTGCAAGATGCCGTGTTTATCCCTTCTAAATCATACTCTAGATCATAGATATCCCTTCAAAATCATGGAAAACCCCCAAAACTAAGCTTCTAATAAAAGGGATTGGAAGACTAGTTTTGAGCAAAAAGACAATCTACAAACAGGCTTGAAGTAAATGAAATGTTTTCCGCGCCTTCCTGACAGATGCTCATGCCAAGCAAATGTGATCACCAATTAGAATGGCGCCGTTAGCAGGGGTGAGTCTCTGAGCTGCCTGGATGCAGACTCAGACTCCTTCCACTCAGACAACAGCGACGCAAGCCCAGTTCACGGGGTGGGAAAGACACCCCCCCCCCCACAGCCATGTGGGGAAGGTTATTTGGAGAAAAAAGGTGAACGTTTGCACTATCACATGAATCACTGAAAATGCCTCAGAACACGAAAGCCTGCAGCCTGCAAAGTGTTCCTAGCTCCTCCAGTGATGAATCCAGGCAAACAAGTGTGCTGAGTGTGTGCTCTGTGTGTGCTGTGTGCTGAGTGTGTGCTGAGTGTGCTCTGTGTGTCGAGTGTGTTCCGTGTGCTCCGTGTGTGCTCCGTGTGGGTTCCATGTGCTCCGTTGTATGCTGTGTGTGCTCCGTGTGCTCTGTGTGCTCCATGTTCTCAGTGTGCGTTCCATGTGCAAGCAGAACAGTGCGACCTTGAGCTCTTCCGCCTTGCATGGCCCCCTGCTCCTGCCTGGCTTCCTGCCGGCCGGGAGCCCCGAGACCAATCCACTCACCGTGGTAAGTGAGCCGCCCACGCGCCACGTTGCGGCCCCGCTCGTTCTCTGCCAGGCACTCGTAGGAGCCCGCGTCCTCCTGCTGGAAGCTGGGGATCTCCAGGACCCCGTTGAACTTGTGCAGCTGGATCTTGCTAGGGAAGGGCAGCCCGTCACTCCTCCTCCAGCTGATCTGAGGAACAGGGCTGGGGAGAGAGTGTTGTGTCAGCACTCTTGCAGACCAGTCTGGAAGCGTCCTGACTTCACACAGCAAAGCCTTCGTTAGAACTCCGCAGGAAGATGGACTTTCAGATGCAGATCACACCTCAGTTGCCAAGATTTACTCTCAGCGGCTCTTTCAGTCAACTAAACCCTGTTGTTGAGTTAACCCTGGATGTGGACCAAGACATCCCCCGCCTGACCCACGCCCGGGGCACGGGAGAGTGAAAGCACCGTGCTCTCTGTGTCTTAGGCTGGCAGAGTTGGTCTCTGCAAAGAGCCTTTTAAGTCTGTTCCCTCTGGTCCCCACACGTCCTATTCCACATCCCAGAGGGGCTGTCTCCACTCTCCAGCCCCATGGCCCTGAGCCCGATAGAGACAAGCTCTGAACCTACTTTCCGAGGGCGAAGCACTCCAGTCTCACGGTGGTGCCCTTGGCCGCCGGCAGCGTCTCCGGGAACTGCACCTCGATCTTCGGCTCGTACTCCCCCATCACGCCTGGGAGGAAGAAGGCCCGCCGGCTGCTGTGCGCGCGGCCTGGGCAACCGCTCGGGCTGTGGGTGCCCCTGCGTGGCGTCCAGAGAGGGCAGTGGCACCTCCCTCTGGGGACTGCCCCTGTCCCCCCTCAGCAGCACGGGAGCCGTCTTGTTCGGGAGTGGGAGCGGCGGCGCCCCCTTCTGCAGCTGCCATGCAATTCCAGCATGACTGAGGGTCTAGGGGGACGGGCTGTTCCCGAAACACCCCAGAGGGCAAGAGCCACGGGAGCCTCCCCCAGACCCCAGCACAGAAGCCACCACACTTCTCACGGCCCACGGCAGCTCGGGGAGGGGAGCCTGGGTCGGGATGGGGCTCGGGGTCCCACTCAGCCGCCCGAGTTTCCGAGGGGCACCCCACGGCTCATGGCCAAGAGGCTGTGGGGACGTGTCCTCCTCCCCAGCCTGACATGGCTCGATGCGCAGGGATCGAGGGTGTCTCACGTTTACGGGCAAGTCCCTCAGCCTCGGCTCTCAGCAGCCCGGCCTTGCCGCCCAGAACCACAGTGCTGGGGGAGGGGTAGAGAGAGACACTCTCAGCAGACAACACGGGAGCAGAGACAGAGCCCAGGGCCCACGGGCAGCCCTGACAGCCAGGCCTGGGCACACCTTGACTCCTCACCCGTGTCCACGGCCCCCGTGCTCTGCGGTGAGCTCGTTCGTCCCTGCACTGTCCGAGAGGGCAGCGGGCCTGGGCAGGGTCAAACCCTGTCCCAGGCTGCCCCGGGGCTCCCCGGTCCCTGCTCAGCCCTTCCCTGGGGGCCCCCTACCATCAGCACGGAGCACCAGGGGAGTGGGCGGCCCCAGCACCCTGCCACGGGTCACCACGCTGGTCACCACACACGTGTAGCTGCCCACGTCCCACGGCTCCACCTTGGCGATGTACAGGTGGCCGGTCTCCTGGGAGACGAATCTCCGCCTGTCCTCCTGCACGAACACGGGGTACTCATTGAAGATCCAGGCGTAGGACAGCTCTGGGCAGGACAGGAGAGAAGGGGCCATCGTGAGGGGCAGCCTGGGCCGAGGCAAGGTCCAGACGGGCCTCCTACCCGAGATACGCAAAGAATCCACACAACCGAGCTGAGGCCGAACCACCACCCAGGAGAGCAACGAGACGGAGCAGAACCTCCCCAAAGAAGATGCAGATGGGCCAGAGGGGGCAGCGGGCTGTGACCCCCAGCACCCCTTATGCCCCCCACGTCCCGCCAGGAGGATCTCTCAGCACAGAGTCAGTAGTCAGCCCTCAGCACCACACAATGGCAAGAGAGGCGCCTGGTAAAGCTCTCCTCATCACCTGTTGTCAGCAAAATGCAAACCAAAGGTCAGTGAGATGCTGCTTCCCAGGGCGAGTGGGCGTGTAGCATTAGACCGGCAACTGCAGTGCGGCAGAGGGGTGGGATGCGGAGTCGCATTCCAGCCCCAGGTTTCTCCTGAAAACCCGTATGTTACTTTGTATCTATCCTGGCATTGGAAATGGTAACCATGTTACTGCCAAAATGAAGTTATTAAATGTATATTAAAGTTTGCAGAGTAGTATAAGCCAAACACAGACACCATACCACCAAAACACACACACACAAAAAAAAATAAGAGAAGTGTTGTGGCTGCCCAGCCCCCCTAAAAGCAGACCTCCCACTGGAGAATCAACTCCCTGCATGTGCCCGGAGAGCAAAGCTCAGAGAGGGGAGACCCTCAGTCCTCCAGACACAGCGGCAGCTCCCATTGACAGCCTCCTGAGGGCAGGAGAGCTGCACAGGACGGACTCTCTGGCTAGCCGGGCCTCCCTTCCCCTATAGGCTCAGGAGTTCCTGGGAAGAAGACAGGCCGCCCCCTCTGTGGGCATCAGCATGGGGTGGGCCAGGTCTGCGGGGAAGAGAGGGCCCTGGGTCTGCCGAGCTCAGCCCAGGGGAAGGCAGCCCTCGGGTCTGTGAGCAGCACCAGCCAGTGGCAACAACCCCTCTCTGTCACTCACGTGGTGGCCCCGGCCTGTGCCTGCTCGGTGCACCTCTGCTCTGCTCCAGACACCCCCTCGCCTGTCTGAGACCCCAGCTGCCAGGCCCGGGGAGTTTCTGAACCTGCTTGTCCTTGGGAGTGCCACACTGCATTCCACACACATGTCTTCTGGGAAGTCCTGAGCGTGTTCGTTTTCCTCATCCCTTGTTGTGTTAATCAATAGCCTTCAGCTTGTCTGCAGCCAATGGCTGGAACTTCCCGTCTGTGAGGGACGGGAGAGGCACCAGCTGGCTGCCGCGTGAGTGTGTGAGGCCGTGCAGCCATGCCACGTGTGCTGCTGGGATGACCCTGTCCTGGGCTCTGAGGAGACCAAGGCTGGCCGCGCACGGCCTCCCGCTCGACTGCAGGCAACCTGAAACAGACTTTGGGCCTCTCTGCGGGAAGAGGGCGTCTGGGCTGGAGCCGCGGGGTCTGGGGCTCAACACGACTGTTTTCCATTCCAGGAAAGGCCGTGTCTGTGGTGACCCCCTTTTCCTCTCACCTCAGACCACCCTGAGCAGGCCGGTGTGCGAGGGAGTTCCCTGAGGGCCAGAGAATTGCCCCAGGAGTGCAGAATCATGTGCAGGAGAGCCTGGGGTGTGCATGTGTTCATACACATGCTTGTGCACACTCTTACATGTGCATGCACATGTGCACATATGTGCATGAATATACTCATTCAGTACTCACATGCACGCACATGTCCACACATCACACGTGCATAGGTGAACATGGGCACACACTTCATGCACGCACATGTGCACACACACATGCTCACAGCATGTGCACACTCATGTAATGCTCACACGTGCTTATACACATGCTCACACATGTGTGCACAAATGCACATGCTCACACACATTGCACACACAACCACACACACGACTGCTTGCACCACAGTCTACCATTACAATCACAAGCTTGCACACATACACAAAACCATGTGTTCACAATTCTTGCACACTCTCATGAATGCAATCCTATGCACACACATGTTCACACACATGCACATTAGCAAGCACATACAATCATGTATTTGCAACCACATACCCACAGACATGCATGCATTCACACGTGCATACTCACGCAAGCACACATGAAGATACATGGGTATGCACATGGCTGCACCATACACATGCGTGTGCATGCTTATTGACATACATAGTCACAGATGCACACACATGCATGCATACATGTACATGTTCGCTTATTCGCACTTACACACAGGTCTATGTACATGTTCACACTCTCATATACTTACGTGCAGTCATGCATCTCATATGCATACATGTGCCACAGTGCACACTTGCACATATCCACACACACACACTCTCTTACACTTACAGACACTTACATACACATAGTCAACACGCTCGTAGCCCACATGTGCACTCACCATGCTCACACTGCACGTTCACATGCACTCACGCACGCTTACATGCATACACATTGACACACCTATGTACACAGCTCTGCACATGGCTCCTCTGGTCCCTGGGGCCTCCGGCCACCATGACCCCTCACCTGTCTCTCCCCAGAAGTGACCGGAGGCTTTGGGGCTGCAGGGGGTGAGCACAGAGGTGGGAGGGAGAGGAAGGAGCAGCCCCCACCCGTTGGCCAACAGGGAGATGCTGGGCAGAGACTTGGAACTGGCTCTTCAGATGGTTACAAAGAAACGCCTGCAAGATGCTTGGCCTCAAACCCGTCAGTGAATTTCACACACCAGATCTGCCAAAGGAACGTTCAGTTTCTCTCCTTCAAAGACCCCATTGGTTTCGCTTTTAAGTTTCTCTCTGCTGCTCTTCAGACTGGAGGTGTCTGGGCACTCCGCTTCGCAGATGGGACACTGGGGTCCCGGCTCCTGGGAAACTGCTTCCACCCAGAGCTCTGCCTGGGCGGGGGTCCCGCGGGAGGCTTGCGCCTCTCTCTACCTTTTCAATTAAAATCTGCCTCCTCATAATTAGCACATTCTCTCTGCTTCGGAGCTGCCTGCTTCGTAGCCTCCAGCGGGGTAACTGAAGAGAGACGCAGTGGGAGAGCAGAGCAGGGGCCACACCGGCCCTGGGGAGGAGGGCGTGATTCTCTCACTTCCTCCTCCTCCTCATCCTCCTGGACGCCTTCCCGGAGGCTCTAAGAACCACCAAGGCCGGCAGGTGAGTCCTCCCAAGACAATCCGGTAGGGAACGGGGCAGGGCTGCTGCGGTCACCTCAGCTGTCTGAGAGAGAGCGAAAACGAGGACCCTCCGCCCGCCCGGGGTTTCCTTGCCTGGACCCCGCGTGTCTGTGCCCTGTGGGTGGAGGGAGGCGTGGGGAGGGGTCTGGGGAGGAGCGAGGCTGTGAGCAGCCCCGGCTCTAGCAAGACTGAACAAGGCGTCGCCGTTCTGCCCTCACAGTTTGGGAGGGCCAGGGCCGTGCGCCCCAGGGACCCAGACATGCCCACTCTGCACCAAGTCCTCACTGCAGGGACGAAAGGGAGAGTCCGGCCTCTCGGGCACCCACAGGTGTCACAGGCTTGAGCTAAGAAACAGCGAGAACACATGGGACTCCCACCACCCCATGACTGTCCGAGGCAGAGCTCACCTGCGTCTGGAGGGTGTGGGGCAGGAGACCAGGATGGGGGGCACCTTATCCCAGCGGTGGGATTCCCGGGCTGAGGACCCAGAAGCCCGAAGACACTCTCTCCATCACCCCTGCCCCTCTGCTGCCTCAGCATCAGCCGAGCTGCCCTCCTGCCTCCCCCCTCTGGCTATGCAGCGCTATATTTAGCGGCCCTCCCTCCTCCTCCCACTGACCGCCTCAGCGCCAGATTCGGCCACCCCCTGCCTCCCCCCACTGGCTCCCTCAGCTCCCCTCGCTGCTCCCCGGGCCGTCGACCTGGGCTTCTCCTCGCCCACCCGGCAGTGCTCCGACAGTTCAGGAGTCAGAGCCGAGAGGGAGGCTGGGGGCGGCAGTGACGTCACTCGCTTCCTCCTTTGGGAAGTAAGAAACCAAACGGCATCGCTCTGCCCCAGGGCAGCCGCACAGCTGCGTGTCGCCACACACCCACGAAGCAGGGGGTTCCCGGGGGCAGGAGCACCCACAGAGGAGGACAGAGGAGGAAAACTGGCTCACTCTGCTCTTTAAGGAGAATTCTTTCTCACACACACACACACACACACACTCACAAGCACTCACTCTCTCACACTCAGACACACTCTCAGAAACACACACACCTAGACATTCATTCACAGATACACATCCACACATATTCACACACGTGTACACATGCTCAACCCAGATACACACACTCGTCGGCATTCACAAACTCACTCATCCAAACACTTATCTGCATACACACTAGCACACACAGACACACGCACACACTCATTCACATACGCATACACACAGTCATGCACACACGCAGACTCGCACGCTCACACCCTCAATCATACTCACATATGCATGTGTACAGAACTATAACAAGGTGTAACACGTAAACACATGTGCACAGGTAGACACATATGAAGACATACGACATCACATGCACACATAGCATATAAGCATGTGCCTGCAGTGTGTACACCTGTGGTAAATCAAGCAGACACAGAAAGACATGTTGTGTGGACATGTGAAGCATCATGCAGACACCTGCAAGCAGCACATACCCAGCGTCACTCCACAACATGCATGGGCACATGGCAGGTACACACATGCATACAGCATCCACGCATGGTATAGAGAGCATGCGTGCACAAACGTGTGCAGCACTCACACACGTGGTACTGAGCGACGGCAGACTGCTCACTGAGAAGTGCTCAATACTAGATGAACTGATGGGAAGACCCACCTCACCCCCTACCCCCCAGGGGAAGACCCACCTCACCCTTTACCACTGGTGTAAACACCCACCTCACCCTCGCGCACACACATGCACACACGTGCACACACATGCATGCACTCTCCCCCACATTCATGCTCATGCACACACTCTCAGACACACACATGCATGCTCACACGTACACGCACACTCCCGTGCACACACCTTCATGCAATGCATGCATTCACACTCACGCACACGCACATGCTTGCACACTCTCAGGCACACACAGGCACAGGCACACGCGCACTCTCGCGCACGCATTCACACGGAGAGAGCGTGCCTGGCCAACCCAGGGACTCCCGACACGGGCCAGGCCGGCGCCTCCCGCCTCACAGGTGGGCAGCGCCCGAGTCTCCTCAGCTACCAGCAGCGTCTCCAGAGAAGGGGCAGCTCTGGGACATCAACCAAGACGCTGCTGGGGACGAGCCATCACACACGGCCCCGTGGCCCCTGCTGGGGCAGTTCTGTCCTCTGGCCCGAGCTGGGGTCAGCGACTGTGGGTGACTAACAAGCTGATTCTCCCCGAGCCCGCTGGCCTGCTGCTGACACGAGCACAGGCGATTGCGGGCCATGCAGAATTAATTAAATACACAAAATGCCGGAATACACTCACTCGTCAAAAGCCCCGTGATGTTCTCCCCAGGTCTGAAGACCATCTAATGATGAAACCTCCTGAGGAACGAGACGCCACAGCACTGAGGAATGGCAACGACCCAGCAAGGCCCCACTCATAGGGAAGCTTCCTCCCTCCATCCCCTCCACCTCCTCTCCCCCTTCCTTCCTTTCTCCTCGCCTCGCCCTCCCTTTCCTGTTTTCTCCCTGTATCTCCTTTTTGGGAAGGGAGGAAGAAAGGAAGGAAGGAAGGAAGGAAGGAAGGAAGGAAGGGGAGGGAGAGAGGGAGGAAGGGAGGGATGAAGGGAGGGAGGGAGGGAGGGATGGAGGAAAGGGAGGAAGGAAGGGAGGGAAGGGAAGGAAGGAGGGAAGGGAGGAAGGAAGGGAGGGAGGGAGGGAGGGAGGGAGGGAGGGAGGGAGGGAGGGAGAGAGGAAGGGAGGGAGGGAGGGAGGGAGGAAGGAAGGAAGAAAGGAAGAAGGAAGGAAGGAAGGAAGGAAAGAAGGAAGGAAGGAAGGAAAGAAGGAAGGAAGGAAAGAAGGGAGGGAGGGAGGGAAGGAAGGAAGGAAAGAAGGAAGGAAGGGAGGGAGGGAAGAAGAAAGGAAGGAAGGAAGAAAGGAAGGAAAGGAGGGAGGGAGGGAGGAAGGAAAGAAGGGAGGGAGGGAGGAAAGGGAAGGAAGGAGGGACGGAAGGAAAGGGAAGGAAGGAGGGACGGAAGGAAAGGGAGGGAGAAGGGAAGGAAGGGAGGGAAGAAGGGATGGAGAGGAAGGACAAAAGGAGGGAGGGAGGGGTTGGAGCAATAGCACAGCGGGTAGGGCGTTTGCCTTGCACCTGGCTGACCTGGGTTCGATTCCCAGCATCCCATATGGTCCCCTGAGCACCGCCAGGAGTAATTCCCGAGTGCAGAGCCAGGAGTAACCCTTGTGCTTCACTGGGTGTAACCCCCCCCAAAAAAGGGAGGGAGGGAGGGAGGGAAGAAGGGAGGGAGGAAGGAAGGAAGAGAGGGAAGAAGAAGGAAAGAAGGAAGGAAGGAAGGGAGGGAGGGAGGGAGGGAGGGAGGGAGGACTCGCTGCTGAGAGTCACACTAAGAGGTGAGAGGTCATGGGTCTTGATCACCACTGCTTGTGCAGGGAATGTGGGTCTCTAAGTCAGATGTAGCCCCTCCATGGTCCTGGGACAGGGTGACACACAGCGTGAGGGTCCCGGCCAGCCAGGAGACAGTGGGTGGCAGAGGCTGGCAGGGGGAAAGGGAGGTGGGGAACAGCCCCCCCCCCCCCCCAGCACAGCCACACAGGAGATACAGAGGTCCCGAGGCCCAGACATGCCCTCACCCACAGCCCAGCCGCTCCCGCCCCACAGAAGGAACCTGCGCACGGCCACAGCCCCACCCAGACCCCACAGGGCTCGGTGACCTGTGGCAGGAGCCCAGGGCCACTGCGTGCCCAGCTCCAGGGCTGAGGAAGGCGGCACCTGGGGGCAGACAGGCCACACTGCTGACGTGCTGGGTCGGCCCACTGGATGCAGCCCTGAAACCAGAGCTTTTCCTCCCCACGCCTGCCTGGGACAGTGGCATCTGGACGTATCTGAGTGAGGCCTGTGTCCACTGCCAGCTTATCCCTAAGCACCTCCCGGAGGGACCCCCGCAACAGTGAGTCAGGAGAGCCCCTGGGCACCGCCGCTCTGACCCCAAACCAAACAACCAAACAGAAAAAGTTACACAATTCCTTTTTTTTTTTTTTTTAAGAGGGAAGCCCGGGTGAGGTTTCGGAGAACAGGGGTCTCGTGGCAGGGTGTGTGAGAGGCTGGCAGGACGGGTTTGGGGTCTAAGGGCTGGGGCTTAGGCAAGGTTGGGGTGGGGCACGGGCTTGCCTTTGGGGAGTGGGGGAAAGGATCTAGGAAGACGAAGACAAGAACGGGAAGAGAAGACGGAGTCATGGGAGTTTGCCTTGGATCATTATGGAAATCAACGTTCCCCGTCAATACATAACATCTCAACAACAAAGTAAGCCGTGATGACAACGCCACAGGACCGTCCATCTGCAACTGAGTGTTGGGATCGGGGGAGGTTCAGATGGGCGAGGCTGGAGAGACTTCCCAGGGGTCAAGGCTTGTCCCTCGGCACAGCCCTGGGCAACATCACACGAAGCCCAGTGGCCCCAAGTGCTGTGAAGTCTCCTGGCTAACCCGGCACTGCAGACCCAGAGCAGCCTCGCACTCGGGCCCGGTGCTGACTCCACAGCCCCGCGCAGGGTGGGCCTGGCTGCAGCGAGCACGGGCAGCCGGCCCGTCCCTTCCTCAGCCCCCCACTGCTCGGGCAGCCGCTGCCTGAAGCCCCTGCATCTGCCCTCATTCCACCCACAAGCTCACACGTCCAGGGGCGACCACTCGTGCCTCTGCTGTCCAGTGCCCCCACACAGCTGGCGGAGGTTCTGGAAGCCCCCAGCCAACGGGCCACAGTAAGGGCCGCAGAAGGGCTGGAGGTGACCCTGCTTGGCCCGCGGGTCCGAGAGTGAGGCAGCTGCAGAGGCCCTGGGGATGAGGATCTGGGATCCCAGGGCTTGGGGACCTCGAGGCGGTCACAGGGCAGTAGCAGGCACCGGGCTGGGCCGACTCTTACCTCCGGAGTGTGGCGGGGGTCCACACAGCAGCACCACGCCCTGGCCCGCCCGCACGGACACTGCACCCCGCGGCTTGCTGGGGAACGCCTCCAGGTCTGCGGGGAAGCAAAGACAAGGTCGGCCAGGACACGCGTCAGCTCAGAAACACCCCCCTTGGGGGTCTCCTGCCCACTCAGGTCCCGGGAGGCAGGGAAAGAAAACAGCACCTGAGAGCCTCAGTGGGAAGCCCTGAGACACATTCCAGGTGCACCCCCGGCCATCTAGCGAGGGTTTCACGCCGGCCAGGGTGGTCAGCAGGCGCACCTCAGGTCTCCTCAGCCAGGTTGTAGACAGGTCTCTGCAGGCCTGGGAGCAGAGGGTCACTACACCGAACTCACCCCAGAGCCCAGGAAGGCGGGTCTTCTCAGAGGGTCACTAGGCTGACCTCACATAGGCCTACTGAGTTATCAGACCGAGAAGATTTCCAGCCTCGCCACAATGAGGTCAAAACTTAAGGTTTCTTCTGCAAGGTATTTGACCACAAGTAATGCAAATCGCTTTTTATTCCACCTCCACTCTTTACACAGAGGTTTGAAAGGGCTACTGGCAGAAAAATAGTGCAGCAGGTAAGCTGCTACCTTGTATGTGGCTGGCCCTGGTTTTACCCCAGCACCATACATGGTTCTCAAAGCACCACTGAGAGTGATGTTTGACACAGTCACAAGAGTAAGCCGTGAGTACCACGGGTTTAACCCAACACACACAAATAAGTATAGATATAGATTTAGGATTAGATATAGGTATATAGATATAGATTATATAATCTATATATAACTAGATATAGATTATATATTACATATAACTTACATATAATTATATATATAAATCAGAAACAATTCTCAGAGAATTGTTTCTGATTTAGTCCCACCTGTCCCAATACTAAAGAGGCCTGTAAACAATCTCTCTCACTAGAAATGACCCCTCAATACAGTAATAATGAAGGATAGCTATGAATCAATCCTATAGTTCCCCTTTTACAGCTGTGGGAAAATTGCTTGAATAATCATCCAAAGATGTTTCCCCGCCCCCGCCAAGGTTTCAGCAAGTTTCCTCCAGAAAGCAATAGTAGGCAAATCCTATTCTGAGCACCTGTGGTTATATTTAGAAAATATCTTATTTCATCCAATAACTACCCAGAAGAAAACGTTTCCATGCAGATTCTCCAGCTTAAGCTTATAAGGAGGGAGAAAGTTTTACGGGAAGGAAGGAAAAGCCCTGCTCTCTCTGTGGGTGGAAGGCAGCGGTGGGCTTCCATTGGGACCCTGAGCGCTCCCCTGCCCAGTCAGGGCGGGCACTGCCAGGTCTGAGAGTGTCCCCCCAACCCCGGTCCTATGGGCCACTCAAGAGCTTGAACGTGTGTCTTATCAACTTTTCCAGAAAAAAATGTAAGAAGTAAAACACTTACATGCCAATGGGTGTGGTAAACACTCATGGCCAGTCGGTGCCACAGCTGACTGGTCAGAGAGACAGGGGGGCCCAGAGGCTCTCCTGTCCCTGGATCAGGATGAAGCACAGGGCTGGAGCAAGGACTCAGCAAGAGAGGGGACCATGCGGGCACCACGGCAGGAGGACACAGCCCCCTGCACAGGAACACTGTCCACTGCCACCCATGAGGACTCCTCAGCAGGAGGACATGGCATCCAGCCAGACCAATGTCCACTGCCACCACTGAGGGGCCATGGGCAGACAGTGAAGGACAAGCAAAGGTAAAAAGCCAGTGTGCACCTGCTGACCCAGCCTTGAGAGCATGGGCGCCGCCCTGGCCCCTGCAGGAGGGACGCTTACCGCCAGCCTATGCCCCCCACTGGATGCTGGCAGACTGGCCACTGCAGCTGGACACTGGCAGACAGCCCTGTCAGAGACAGGGAGACACCCGGCGTACGTCTGTCCTCATGATTGCTCTCCAATTCTAGGCAGTGCTGAAAACCACCGAACCCAAAGGGAAAAGCCCACCTAAGATCGTCATTTCAGAAAATAAAGTTACTTTCTCATTTTCACAACATGCCCCCAATACTCTAAAACATAACAAAACATAACGGGTGGATGCAAATATTGTGACATTCTGCGTGTTGCTATGGGCACACGCTGTCTCCCCCGCACACGTGTGGGTCTGGCTTCCAGGGGGAAGTCGAGTTGAAACAGACGCCTGCCTGCACCACCAGGAGCACTGGCGTTGGAGCAGCGTGCAGGAGGTGACTCGGAGCTCACACCCCCTAGTTCCTGTCCCCTGCTCCTCAGAAGCCCCTGGGAAAGTTCCCACTCCACACTCCTCGGGGGCTCCAGGAGCTGCTAAGAGTCTGGGGCTCCCAGGGACCCTCAGCCAACTGGCAGTGGCTCCGTGCAGGGCCGAGGACATGGCACTGGTCAGGTGCTACTGTGCCCACAGCCGTGTGTCCCTGGCCACGTGAGGCCTCCAGGACCACGTCTGTGATGCCCAGGGGCCCACGTCAGGCACACGAGTGCAGGCGCCCGTGCTGGGCTGACTCCCAGTCCAATACTCGGCTTGTCCACTTGCTTTGAGGACATGACCAGGTGTGGTCCTGGCGATCAGACCAGTGTTAGCAGCACCAAGGCAAGCATCGCACTCTCAGAACTTGCTCTCCTGCCCCGAGAGATACATTTTTAAAACACAAAAATGACACATGAATTCCAAAGCAACCAGGGCCAACGTGTAGGCATGAAGGTGACATGAAGGAAACGTAGGAGCCGGAACGTTCAGCAGCCCCTGGCCCTGGCCCCCAGAGCAAGGGGCAGGCAGGAGACTCGGAGGGGAAACTGGAGAAACCTCTCTTCAGTCAAGACCCTTGCATGGCCCCAGGGGCAGATGGAGCCTCACAGGCTGTCCCCCGCCCCCCCCGCACGCCGGAGAGGCTGGTCTCATCCTGAGCCAGAACCGACACCGAACAGAACAGATAGAACAGATGCGGGACCAGAGTCGCGGCCTGTGTGCCCCAGGCCTCCTGCTCCACCCCAGCTGCTCTCCAGGGTCCTGCAAACAGCCCGGCCTCCTCCCAGCCTCTGCTGCCTGTCCACACCAGGTGCCCAGGGCCAGGGAGATAACAGGGGCTCGAGGTGCAGCTCTTGCTTCTGGCCAACCCACAGTTTGATACCTGGGCCACATGGTCCCCCAGCACCACTGCACAGTCCAAACTAAACCTCGTTGTTTGAGCACCATTCGATTGAAATTGTCCAGATTTCCGGGACAAATGCTCTCGCTGAGGTGCTCTGGACACTTGAATCCTCTCAATTTCCTGCTTACCAGCTGAATCTGCCTGTTTTAAACTGCTCTGTTTAGGGGCAGCCAACATTCTTTTTTTTTTTAATTTATGTATTTTGTTTTATTAGTGAAACATCATGAGGTACAGTTATAGATTTACAATTTTTTGTGCTTGGGTTTTGATTATACAATGATCAGATACCCATCCCTCCACCAGTGCCCATTTTCCACCACCATGGATAATATCCCCCCACCCCCATCCCCCCATCCCCCCCTGCCTCTGTGGCAGGGCAATCCCCTGTGTTCTCTCTCTCCTTTTGGGTGTTGTGGTCTGCAAAAGAGGCAGGTGAGCTGTGGGCAACCACCTGGAACAAACTCTCCTTGGGTGTCAGCCAAAAGACAGCCAACAATCTTAATAACAGCCTACAGATGGTGAAAGTGTGGCATGCAGGTGATTCTGGGGGTCTTGGTCCATACCTCCTGCCTGCCAGCTCCAGATTGGCAGAAAGGAACCAGGGAAACCTACAGAGAAGGAGGGACATGGGTGGCCGAGACGCTCTTCCGGAAGGTGCCACAACTGCACTGCGGGGACATGTGTCTCCTGTGCCAGCACGGGAACCCCTAGAGGGCGTCTCAGTGGGGCAGCGCGGGGGCCTGTGGGGGCTCTGGTGCCGGGTCTCTCACTGGCTCGTCTCCTGGAGACACCACCATGACGGCCAACGGGGCAGAGTGTCAGTGTGAGCTGTGGCTAGCAGTGGCACGAGCAAGGGGCTCTAGGGCAGTGGGCGTGGAGGATGCTAGGACCCTCCCGGTGCTGGGGCAGGAAGTGGGGAGGGGGCTTCAGGCCTTGGTGTGGCCTGGATGGCTGCAGTGGGGGGTGAGAAGAGCCCACTCAGCGGTGGCAGAGGACCACCAGCTTGGGGACATGGCTGGGCTAGGGGGTATGGGCTGGGCTCTGTGTGTGTGTGTGTGTGTGTGTGTGTGTGTGTGTGTGCTGGGCTGTGTGTTTGTGTGTCTCTGTGTGTGTGTGCTGGGCTGGGGCACACACTGGATCCTGCACAGGTGAGCTGTGGGCAACCACCTGGAACAAACTCTCCTTGGGTGTCAGCTCTCCCTGCCCGTGGCTACCCAGGGGTGCGTGGTGTGTGCCTCAGGCAAAGGTAACGCAATGACGACCCCTCCCCCACTTCCCATCGCTTCCCTCTCCACTCAGCCAGACCCAGGCGGGCACCGGCTGCAGCTTGGCGGCCCCTCCCGCCTGGGCTCCTTCCTCTCGCCCACTGACCCCGCACATGGCGCAGCCCCAGGCCTGGCAGCAGAGCATGACAGGGCCCACAGTGGGCACGGCTGGAGCCTCTGCAAACAGTCTCTGCAGAGAACAGTGTGTGGCTCACTCTGGCTCTGGGACTGTGGAACCCCGGGCGTGTTGCTGCACATTGTGGACTGTGACATGTGGACAGGGGCCACTGTGAGGCCACCAGGAGCCAGTGAGGCCGAGAGGGACATCCAGGGTGACAGACACCCTGGCCAACCCCAACCTCCCCTGTAGGGTAACATTGCTTTGTCCTTCTTCCACAAGAAGCTTAGGTTTATCTGGTTACACCCATCAATCTGGTTACACCCATCACAGTGCTCCTGAAGCACTTCCACTTCCATTGTGCTTATCTGTAAACAGTCTTCCCTATGCTCTCCTCCCCACCCAGTTAATCAGCTTTCCCCTTAATCAGACTTTGTTAATTTGTAAGATCAGTTTCCCAGAAATCTATGATTTTATATGTATGAGTCAAATATTGCTTTTCTCCCCTCCTTATGCCTTATGAACATTTTACCTTAAAGTAA